GCAACGCTGAGCATCACAGCAGGCAGCAGATAAACAGAGGGAATGTACACAAAGGTGTTATACACGTTCCTACACTGGTTTCTCACATTACTGCCAGTGGCACCACCCATCATAGGGAAGGACAGAAAGCTGAAGAACTCCTACGAAATGAGACTTCTGGCTATTTTTCTAATGGTATCCTCTCGAAGGGGAGACAGGTAGGCAGCAGAGAGGCCAAGGGAGGAAACCTGTGAGGAGGCAGATGCAGCTGCAGCTCTGAGATTGCCCCATTTGCAGAGCACAAAGTGGTGCCACCACCCCCATACACTTTGGTGTGACAGCCACCTGCTGGAGCCAGACCCCTGCTGCCCCAGCTGCAAGGGGCTGTTTTGGTATTTCGCACCATTTAGGCTTTGTACAGTTGTTTCTGTTAGTTCACTCCATCTGCTCTCACACACAAAAATACCCTATTACAGGGCCCGAGTTCCAGTTTCTTCAGCAATGCATTAGCCTCAAGCACAAATGGTTTTATGTCCAGTTTAATTAAAAAGAAATTTAAAAGAAAAGCTTCTCTGAAGAATCTCAATACCCCTCACTTGTAGGCAGCTCAGTGTGTTGGAATCCTGGTCTGAAGATCAATAGGAAGATCCCATTGACATCGCCAGGGCCAGAATCTGAGCTATGCTATCCAGGTCAAAGCTCACTTCATCAGTGTTGCTAACAGGGATCAGGAATCAGGAATTCTGAAAATAAACAAACAAACCAATCCCTGGCTGATTTGAACTCTGTTAGGTTACATGCATGTGTATAGAAAACTCACGAGGAAGTAGCAGAGGAGTGAAAGTATTTGGCAGATAATTTCTCCTCAAGCTTCCTAGAAACTAGCAAGTCCATCCACAGGTCCACCAAATTGGCCAGGTTCCCTTCTGGATGGCTCAAGGCTTGTAGAGATTTCTAACTGAAGAAACACAAGTCCCAGAGACTTGGGGGAAATTTAGGCCTTCTGAATATCACTCTTCATGTCTTTTTACAAGAACTAGTGTTTATGCTGAAAATTTCCAGAACTCTTTCTTTCCCAAACATTTCCACTTAAAATGAATATTTGGATTCATGGTCATTTAAAAAGAAAACATTGTTAAATTCTTTGAAATTCTGGCTAGAAATCCAGGAATCCCTTGGGGAATTCATCTTGCATCAGAATATACAGCACAGGTTTTCAATTCCTCTCCCTGTCCTCGAGATGACGGAGCAATGGAAAGGGAGGGCAATGGGTTCTGAGGCCCTGAGTCTGCAAACACTTTGGGTATGGTTTCATGACTCAAAGTGCTCACATTACTGTGGTTTAATAAGTTACCACCCATCAGCTGAGCTGTGGCAACTGCCTGTGCACATACAATTAGCTTACCCTAATTGCAAAATGTGCAACTCACCCCCTTTCAGGAGATCTGTGCAGCTGCACTTTTATCTCAAGTTACCCCTTGGCATGTTTGCTGCTCAAGGTCCCTTTTCATTAGGCCTTAATTGAGATGAAGTGCGCTAGAAGATACGAGCATCCGACATGCCCCTGGGGTGGGGATTCACAGCTCTCCTGGCCTCGTGGCCTCGGCAGGATGGCAGTCCCCTCCAGGGTGAGCAGCCCTCGAGCCAGGGTGCAAGCTGCTCTCTGCAGTGCCTTGTGTTTGCTATGCAGCTGGTGAAATTTAGAGCACCAGAGAGAAGAGCCTACATTCTGCCTCCCTGCCCTTGACACATTCAAAGGGACCTGCTGTCACCGGCTCAAGTGCTGCCACACCTACAAAAGCTCAGATTTTAATGCTAGGATATTCCACTTTGGGTTCAGAAGGAGAACAAACACTGCTTGCACCTCTGTTATTCTATATACCCACCCCAACATCCTACACTGAAGCATCTTTAATTCAGAGCTCTCTGTATGCACCTTTTCTGTCATGCTTTCCAAATAACACCACCCAGTTCAGCACAACCCCTGTTGGCATATGATCCACAAACTCAGCCTCTTTGCCCGGGTTATGTATTTACATCTCCTGCTACCAAGCTTTTGATGAAACAGCTTCCTCCTCCTTACCAGTCCCTTTGGGCTTGGATGACTCAAATCCTTGCTCACGTGAGCAGTTCTTGCTTGAGCACACACTCTGTTGTTTCAGCTGGAGCTTCCTACAGTAGCTTCTAAAGGATCAGGATGTTTCCCACCAGCATGCAAGGTTTCAAACACAAGATACCCTTGCTACAGCAGGGAACTAGTGAATAAGAAATTGAACCAGCAAGGAAACCCTGAGCATGAATGTATCAACAATTCCATCTGATAAAAGTATCCTCCTATTGTACTCCACACATGAGGCTCAGGTTAACAAATGAGGCAAAGTAGTCCAGGAAAATATAAAACTTACATAGTAAAGCAACAAAAATGTACATACACACCCTTTTCATGGCATATGTAGAACTACTTGGATTTTGTTTCCAAAATCTAGGATTAATTCTGAAAATGGAAAAAAAAAATTAGAAAAAAAAGTAATGATTTTTCATATGGATATTTTTTCTTAAATCTCATGCTGATTGCCTTGCATTCTTTTTTTTTTTTTTAGCTGCTTGGAAGAGTTTGAGATTTATATCAGAAAACAACACGGGAACACTTTTTTTCCAAAAGGTGTTGGTTTTTGCTCTGGCCAGTCCTACCATTTAGGTAACCTTTCCATATCTCTGTAGCACATTTCATCTGTTGTTCAGCTTTGAGCAGCACACCTGAGCTCATGAATCCCTGCTCTGAGATTGCTTTAGCCTTCCAAATTCCTGACCAGATTCAGAGAAACAGAACTCCTTGTTTGTCAAACATTAAAGTGTATTTCCTTCACCGTCAACTTCAAATACTCAGTGTCAGACGAAATGTGAAATATTTGACAGGCCCCCACAGCTAGAAATTGAGGGGTTTTTAACAATTTTAAGCTGAATATTGCATGGCTTAAAGGTGACTGTCACTTTGAACCTCTCCAGACAGTTCAGAGGTTGCTAAATTTGTGTTATGTGCAAACTTGCGCATGCTAAGAAAATGTCACATAAAGAATCTAAAACTTCCCTAGGAAAACTGATTTATAATTTCATCACACCACAGAATGTTCTGGTTTCTTCTTTAGCCGTGTTTGTGGTCATTAGAGAAGGTCAGTGTGCAACGAGCCCTGTTAAGGTGATGCCATCAAACCGGCAAAGGAAAGAAAGAGCTGTCGAAGTTTAGTTTTTTGCCAGTCCATCAATACCTCCCTTTTGGATAGGCAAAATGTGAGTTTTTAATTACAGACCCTTTGTCTGGAGGCTCCTGCTGAGTGCGCACCCCGGACAGAGAGCACACTCAGGGCAGACAGCGTTTCCCGAAGGAGCATCCCTGTGACCCGCAGTGCGTGCCTGCCGCACGGCCGCTCTGCGGAGCAGGAGCGGTGGCACACAGATGGCAATCAGCATGAGATGGCAGCCGAGAGATGCTGCCCTCGCTGTGCACAGCCACCGCAGCTGCCACAGCCCCTGTCATCCCTCCCACGGGAAGAGCAAGACCAGGCCTGGGCTCAGCCTCCGGATGGGAATGGACAGCCCAAGAAAGGTTGAGACAGGATTGCTCGGGCTTTAACCAGATTGCTTCCCAGCTCTGCACATGGTGGTGCGTAACTTCAGTGCCTGGTGTAACCTCGTCTGCCCAGAAGAAAACCAGCAGGAACTGGTGAGGCATCCGGCCCAGCGCCCTCCAGGGTGCCTCTGGCGCCGGGATGCGTAGGCGGGCGCAGCTCCCGGGGTGACAGACTAGGGCTCCATCGATGTCCGTCGGTCATCCTCATGCAGGCCCCGCTCCGGAGCGGCCCCGGAGGGCGCGGAGGCTGCGCGGGCCGCCCTGACCGCGGCCGCCCAGCGGGAGCGGAGCCGGGAGCGCGCCGGGAGCGCATCGGGAACGCGCCGGGAGCGCGCCGGGAGCCGGGTCTGGCGCGGCGGCCCCGTCGTGGGTGGCGGGAGGCTGCGGAGAAGGTGAGAAACTGGGCGCGGAGCGGGCGCGGGGAGGGAGGGACGCGAAGGTGGGAGGAATGAAAAGCGGAAAAAGTGATGCTGCTGTGGGGGCTGCGGAGGGATGCGCGAGTGGTGGGAGGCGGGGCCGGGCCGCGGGGGCATGGGATGGGATGGGATGGGATGGGATGGGATGGGGCGGCGGAGGAGAGGACGGGGAGGGAGAGCGGTGAAAAGGAAAGGAGGGCAAGGAAGGAAAATAAATAAATAAACAAAAGGACGAAACTTCTCTGTGCGTTTTCCCCTCCGAAGGTCAAAGCAGTTAAATTAACTATCTTTTTTTTTAAAATCCTATTAAATTTCCACCCACTTCCACACTATCTGCAGAGATTGAAAGTGTGGGAACTCAAACGCCATGGGAAAGCTGTTTTCCAATACAATGTTTGCTGCACTCCCCAAAGCGCTGGAAATCTGCAGCTATGACAAGAGACAGGGTTCTTTTTTTTTTTTTTTTTTTTTTTTAATCACACGGTTACTTTGGTGATACCTCAAGTGCAACTCTGCCTTCACTAGTGGTAACATGCACTAGTGGTAACATGCACCAGTATGGCACCTACTTCTCCTGAGGAGTCAAAAATTACACTGGAGAAGAGGAGCCCTAACTAGACGTGCCAGTAGGACTGTGCTGCTTGCACTGTGCTGTGACATGCAACAGGTACGTTCTGTGTTCAGAGTCACACTCATGGGCCCAACACTGGCCAGCAGCATGAGACTACACAAAATGGAGTATCACTGGGCATTCCTCATTTTAATGGTAGTTCTGGAAATGCTGAAAGCTTTCTGCATAAAACCAGGCGAGGGAAAGGTCCTTAGTGCTACAATAATAGTCTAACCCAAAGACTTTACTTGCTTGTTTTTTAGTTTTGTTTTTGTTTTTGTTTTTTTGTGGTTGGTTTTTTGGTTTTTTTGTTTGTTTTTTTTTTTAGGAAATCATATTTTCCAGCTTTTCTTCTGTTCCCTTGCATTGTCCCTTGGAAGCCCGTTAATATTGCAATGTCTGAGCCCTGAGTTTTGTTTGGCCCCTGCCACTGAACACATGTGAAGGTGGCCACAGTACTGCCAGGAGACACAGCAACCCCCACATGCACAGGAAGAAAAATTACAATTACCACTTTCCAGAGGAATTTGCTAATCATTTTTGTTTTACCTTTTCAAATAACTGCTGGTGACTCAGGCTTGACATAGCTCCCATAATCTTCACACATAATTAAGCAATTTATACCTTGTATCTGTGGGTAGATGCTGCTGTCAACACTCAGACCGGTTCTGGAAATGGCTGAATTGCTTTCTTGGGGGAAAAAAACTAACAAACAACAACCACCTCTTGCTTTCTGCCACCTTTGATTAAATAATCTTAAATAACAAGACTGTACAGTAGGGAAATTTGCTTGTGTGGGCCATTGCTTTTGAAGCTGATGTGACAGCTTGTTGCACGACTCCGTACTCGTTCTTCCATTTCATGGTGATGAATGCAAGAGATGAGTGGAGCGAGAAGCTCTTCACTTTTGTTACTCTAAATTGACAAAATAAGCTTTTTTTGGCTCTGATGTTACACTGATATCAGTGTTTCACACCTCAGCAGTCTGAAAGTGGCCATAGTGTCTGTAGGATGGGCTGAGGAGCCCCAGAGTGGACCCCTACAAACCCAGAGTCTTGCTGGTACCACTCCCACTGCAGCAGCAGTGTCAGAGGGAGCAGGGAGAAGTCTTGCTGCCCCCACCGGTTACCATTTGCCTGTGTTAATAGGATAGTCTGAGTAATACGCGTTGTCTTCAGTTTTCTGAACTTTGCTTGCATGGATAGGGTTGTCCCAAATATATGTGTAGTCAAGGAGCCCTGCAAGGGCCTCAGCACATCTCAGCTCTGAGAGGAAAATAGGAAACTTGCACTGGGGGTGAAACAGGCTGCAGTGTCCAACCAGACATTTAAAAGAGATACAGACTATGTAACACATGGACATAAATTAAACTGGGGAAAAAGATAATGTTGGACTTGTGTGATCCTCTTTGTTATTCTCTTCACCACAAGGAAATAGGATGGTTTCTTTCATAACTGCACTATCCAAACCACTTTTTAGACTCATGGTTTATTTCCATTATTTTAGCAAAGGTGTGTTTCATTCTGCATGTAATATTTGAAATAGGGGAGACTTGGTAGCACTTTCCAGGTTAGCTAGTCCATAACCACACAGAATACAATCATGAAAGAACAACTTAGTCCCATGCAAAGGGAGGAGAAATTGAACACCGTTAAGAAAATGCAGAGGCAACCCAGTTATTGGGAGGATTTTTCCAGTTGCTGGATGCTGCAGATGGTGGAAGAGTCCCTCCAGAAAATATTGGTTTGCTCTTCATCCTGGCACATGCTGAACTCATCTGCACAAAGCAAAAGGAGACATTAGAATTAAGTCAAGGAATCAAACAGTTTTTCATAAAAAAGCTCATAGACTATTTTTAGGTATTTCTCCCCCATTTTTTTCCCACTTTTTTTTTTTTTCTCAAATGAGAAAAGCAGTTATGTTAAAAACATCATGGGGAGTAATTCTGAACTGGCAGAGAGATGGGATAGATGATTGAATAGATTCTTTCCATCTCCGCATTTTGTGATCTGTGAACTCACCTTCAGGAAACTTTTCTCATTTCAGACTGAGTTTCACTCCCCCAGGGTTGTCTGAAGAAGGTGAGATATTTAACCTAAGCAGTGTTAACACTACTACTGTGTTTTGGCTTTAAAAGCTAGCAAGATGTCTCAGCCTGAAGAAGCCATCAGAGCACGACTCCTCTCTTGTTTGCTTTTTTCCTGAAGGCCTCTCCACAATACTTTCTGCTGGTGCTTCACACTGCAAGCCAGAGGTGCAGTCAGCTGGATGTGCTGTGGGGCACATGCATCCTAAGGTGGGCTGCACCAAGTCCCCTGTGACTTCCTTTTGCTTCCTGGCTTGTTCCTCGCAGGCTGAAAGCTCACATGAGGGACACCAGTTAAATATGGTGTCTGGTGCACTTTTTAACAAAGAGCCCACCTTTCTTCCCTGCAGTGGATGGTACTCTTGCCAAGGACTGTCCAGGTACGTGTGAGCCCTGAGAAATCCTGCAGTTCTGTGCTGCTTCCAGCACTAGGCTGGTGCTTAGTGAGCGTGGCAGTGTCCTCAGCCAGTAATCCCATTTAATGGGGCTCATGGTAATGCAGGGGATCTGGACAGCACAAGTAATTCTTTTTAATTTAGGAATCTAATCGATTCCCAGAGTAAAGAAGTTCACTTGGGATCTAATGACTCACAATATAGCATGTTTTTGGAGAGCAAACAGCAAATTCAGGGAGAGACTTGAAAAATGAAAGGTGTGGAGGAAAGAACTGGAGTCACCAAAAGCAGTCCAAAGCATTTGATCAAGCACCTGGGAATGAAGAGTGAGAACAGTTTGTAGGAGTGACAGTCTGTGCACATATGGTGATGATATTGTGAGGCTTGCAAAAGGATCAGGGAGATCCCCAGCTATAGAGCAACTGATTTTCCTCTGGATTCATTCCCATAAAAATCACTTCTGTCACAGTACCCAAGCACTGCTTCTCCTAGGTTTGATTCTTCTGGGTGGTTGATTTTACTCCAAGCAGCTGCATTTATTGCCAAAAGCCTGAGATCCAGAATAATGTTTAATTTAGTTTACAACTCAGAGAATATAAGGAGCAAGTAATGTGGATATCAGTTCAGGAAAAAAACAAAACAGTAACCTGGAAACAGAGACATAAGAGGACATTCACCCATTTCAGCTAGAACAGTTTACCATCACATGGTGCTAAGAGGACAGCATCAAGCTGATATCTAGTGGTCTACAGGTTTTCTTTATATTCGTATTAAACTTTCCAAATTAGAGACAGTGCAAACTTTTATAAATAACAGTATGTAATACATAACTATTTTTGATGTAAAAATGACTCCTGGTGCCAAGAAACAATTAATATTTGAAAAATAAAAACCTCAGAAAAAACTCATTGCATTTTTATGTCTTTTCAGACTGGAACTTTGTGGCTTGGAGAATGGATACACTGACCTTTTGCTGGTGTGCACTTCAGCTCTTGCCACAGGCATCTGAGTGCAAGGGAGCTCAGCTGTCCTCCCCAAACCCCTACAGATGCAGACTCCTGTGATCAGGAGCCTGTGCTGGTCTTGCCACAGATTTCCTGTGCGGTCTTGGATAGGAAGGTGTCTGTGTGCCTCAGTTTTTCCATCTGTAAAATAAGAATGATGTTTCACTGCTTCACCAGTGCAGCTAAATTTCTGCTTTAAAAGCACTCTGTGACCTTTGGGTGAATGGTGGTAATGAGCTGTTTGCCTTATTTATAAGTATCATTTGCTGTGATATAAATATTTTTTTGTATTGTTCATACTGTGTTTATTTTGTGCAAGTGAATACAGTCCCAATGAAAGCAAGAGACGAAGTATTTTGCTTTCCCACGTAACTCAACCAGTGCTCCCAAATTCTGATCTCTAACACCTCTGCTATTGCAGTCCTGGGCCTCTCTTGAGCAGAAACTGCTGATCATGCCAAATTCTCTGGTGTTTTGTAATGTGGGCTAACATGGGCTGAGGTTTGGATGAGACCAATAGACTCATTTTCACTTAGGGCCTGCAGCAGCACTGAAGCTGGAGAGAACAGAAGTGAAAGGTCAATGTTTCCCTTCCCTGAGCCACACAGCTCCTGTTTGAAAGCAAATAAAAATATAATGTGACTCCTAATATTTATAAATTTTTTTGATAGCTGTATGCCTTTCTTCCAACTTTACACTAAGAGGACATCTAGATGTTATTGCTTTTATACATTTGCATTGTTTCTTTCTTGGAAGGTTTGCTTGAAATAAATACATCTGTAGACCTAATACTTCTCTCTTTTTCCTAATTTTGTGTGTCTCAATTTATGTGTATACTGTTAGCCAATATTTAGTTGGCTTTCTGGAACAAAGTGGGTGAATATGACCGTGCACTTTGAGAAAATAAGGTCTGAATAGACATGGATAAGCAATTAAGTTACCACAACTTAAGGTGTGTCTTTAGAGAATGATTAAGGTGAGTACTTAGCTTGGGTGAGCTAGGGTCATGTGCACAATAAATTACTATGGGTTGGTAGATGAATAATAAATTGTTAAATCACAATAAATGGACAATTTATCATGTCCGTGTCCAGAAGGACATGACGGTATCTGCTTTCCACTTCCAGTTTCAGCTCCTTTTCTGGATTTCCTCTGGAGTCAGTCAGAGAGGCACATACAAGCAAAGAGATGATCCCATTATTTTATGAATTCTGTTTTGGAATGGTGAAAATCAAACACTTTGATGGCTAAAGTTGGTCATATGAATCTTACATGAAATACATACAATGGTGTTATTATCAGAACCTCTTCTTTTCTTGAAAGTAGCAGCCATTGAAGGATAGAATCCTAGAATGATTTGGGTTGGAAGGGACTTTAAGGATCATCTAGTTCCAAATTCCCTGCCATGGACAGGGACAGCTTCCACTAGACTGGTTGGCTCAGAGTTCCATCCAGCCTGGCCTTGAACTCTTCCAGGGATGCAGCATCCACAGCTTCTCTGGTCAGCCTATTCCAGTGTTTCAGCACCGTCACAGTAAAGAATTTCTTAATAATAATATGTGCACATATAAAACCTTGAGACAAGCTTAGCAACTCAACATACACATCAAATATCTGAGAAAACTGGTGATGCAGCCAAGCTCTCTAACACCACTACCACCACCCCATTTTGAGAGGAGTTCTGCTGTGGACAACCCAATGGTCTAAGAAGGACTGTTTCTCAACAGGTGTACTACTTGAGACAGTCATGTCATGTTTCTGAAGGAGCCATAAGGAATTACTTCAGTACAGAAAGACAATCCACAGACACATTCTATCTCCTGTTACTACATACCATCACACCCCGGAATCTATATAGAAAATACTGAGTGATTGCTGCTTAAGCTCATATCTAGCTGTAAATTCAGTGCTGCCTTCCAAACCTTTGTCCAAGACCTGATACCCAGGTCCCTGTTAAAGGAGACACTGTTAAAGGATGGAATATATTGCATGGCTCTGCCTCATCACAAGCAGCATGGTATAATGGGTCTGTGGCAAGGTATACAGATCAAAGCCCAGAAGCAGTGATTAGCAAAGAAGGGTGAATCTCCAGAAGTCTGAATCAAGTAGTCACTAAAAGCATTGAATACTGCTGAGAATTTTATGAAAAGCATGAAAGTATACTCTGATGAGACTGCTCACTATTTTCATCTCTAATAACATGAGAAAGACTATAAAAAAAAAAAAAAAGATGTTTTTCATTAGATCTTCTGCTACAGGTTCTCATTACCATGAGAACTGTGAAGCTGCTAAAGAAGAAGAAGAAGAAGGAAAACAAGCTGTTGTGCAACTTCTGTGAAACTTTGAATTTATTTGACTGAGGTCAGGACTGCAAGTACCCTTGTACCAGAAACAACCTACCTACCTTATAGTCTGCCTGCCTGATATTGCTCTTATTCTTGGTGGTGAGTCTTTCATTGGAACAGAAGTATAGAAGTTATTGTTACCCTGGGTATAATATCTCACCCTACAACAGTTGCTTTGTGATTTAAATGAGTTTTTGACCTGAGTTTATAATGAGCCAAATTTGAGCAGTAACAGCCCCAGGTCACTTGAGCACATTGCAGGGACAAAGCAGAGGACCACGATGGTGATCAAGCAGCTGGCTGGTGGAGTCCTCTGCACACTTGCTCTTCATCAAACCTCAACAAAAGCTTACAGAGGACAAGCAAGCAGTCCCTTCCCTACTGAACATAGTATATTTTCATGTGGTAAAGAATTAGGTGGATTCATTTTCTGCTGTAGCTGAAGAAAAACAGGATACCAGGATATACACTGTACTGTATGTATGATAGGCACAATGGTATAATTGGAAAAGGGGCTCCATGTTTCTCCTCCTTTCTGGAAATAAATTCCTGTAAAAATATAACCAAAGGCAATAAAAATATCAGTAGGGGATAAATAAATAAAGAAAAAAGATTCTGTGCTGAAGATAGTAAGGCAAACAAGCAGGAATGGGTTTATCAGCGTAAGGGGAGGAAAAGGAGATAACAGGAGCAAAGTAGAGGGGAGCACACAGAAAGAAGATGTGGGACTTGTCTACTAGGAGAAAGATTCTTTTTCCAGAGATTTAAGGAATCACTTTTTCTCCTGCAATTTTTTGTCTTAGGAAAAACAAAGAGCAAGACCAACAGAACTTCCCAGAAGCAGGCTTAATGAAAATTGAGGGGAAATCTCTGTGGGCTGCAACTCAAGTGTCTATTAGTGAGAAGGAGGAGGAAGACTCAGCACCCCAGAATGCTGGAAAGGGAGGCAAGCCTGTGGGGTGGCACTTTGCCAGCCAGAGCCATGGAGGAAAGCCTGGAACAAGCAGTCCTGAACGGAGCTCAGATGCAGTGACCTCTGTGATCAGGCCATGTGTCACAAGCTAAAGTGAGTCCACTAACAAAACCTGGTGAGTTGTTTGCTAAAATTTTGCTGAAGGCATTTTAAAATTTGGCTAATGAAATAGGTACATGCTCCTTTCCAGTTTGGGTTAAATTTAATCGGAACAAGTTATTTGCAAAAATGTTTATCATCAATGCAAAAAGAAGGCTGAAGAATTCTAATGCAATGAACACCTTAATTATTTCAAAGCTTCTGGCATATATTTTAATTTGTTATCTCTTCTGGTTTATATTCTCATGTTGGTTGATGGACCTATATCTCATATTTAAATCTTCTATCCATATAGTTTCTCATATTTTATGTTATTTTTATTATAGTCTTCAAAATTACCTTTATTAAAGCCCCAATTTTTGGTACCACTGAAATTTTCAAGTATATGTATATAAGCTCTATCTCTTTAAGACCAAATATAAAATCAAAGTGGATATTTTTTAGTGTTAGCTGTTTTCAACTTCTAAATGAACAAGGAAAGATTTGAAGAAATTTTTGAAGCCTTCTCTAAAATATCTCCTTACTTAAAACAAAGCCATATCACATCAGCCATTACAAAAATATTCTCCTTTGCCAAGAGACCACACGTGAAGCTTCAGGTGGGAAAAAATTAGGCTTACAAAAGAAGAAGAAAAAAATATTGAGTCTTCCAATAAAAATGAACATGGAACTGCTACTGTAGTTCCATTATAAAGACTCATAAAAACATTTCCAGTTGCTCTCTAGTAGGTCTCATTTCCATAAGCAAAACCCCTCTTTATTTCTTCCACAGTTTCTTATAGGTCTTTAAGGAGCTATGAAAAGTCTCTTGCCAACAGGGAATTTCTTGCAGAAATAAAGTGTCTTAGGAAACAATTTTTTATAGATCTGGAAACATATTAATGATTAAAGGCCTGATCCTTCAGAGCTGGGTGTTTTCAGTTTCCGTTGGCTTCTGTGTGAATCACAGATGCTGGGCATCTTTTCATATCAGCTACAATATCTGAATACCAAGTGTTAGATGATTGTACCAGGCTTGAAGGAAACCTTAGTGCTTTGCCTTCTGAACCACACAACAGAACACAGCTTCTCATATTGAAACCCATGAGCTTCAAATTCAGGATTCAGGTCCTTAAAATCATGGGACAGGCTTAAAATTTATGAGCTTTTTCTGTTTTTATCTAATTCATGACTTTGAATCTTTTTTCAAAGTCAGCTTCTTGCCTTTTAGGTTTTCTCTGCAGAAATCCAGGCTGGAAATGCACTTTTCTGTAGAATAGAATGGTTTACTTACCTGTCTCCTGCACCTGGGGCTAAAGAAAGATGTCAAACATTTAGAGTTGCACTACAGGCCTGTGGTGAAGTCATTGTCCCTCTTGCTGTACTCCTGCTTGTCTGTCCCGACACAGCCCTGTGCTTTCTCAACACTTAGCTGGGGACACAGAACCAGAGCAGAAAAAAAACAAACCTGTGGGAGGCAGAGCTGCAGCTGCTGGAGGAGCTTATTTTATCTGTCAGCAACTGTACATGAACCCTCTCTACTGCAGGATAAAATCTGACAGAGAGGCATAAGTCCTGACAGAGAAAGTTTTATGTACATTAAAGTCCCCATCAACCTGTCAATGCATAAATGGCCATGTGCAATGTAAGTGATGATTAAAAGTGATCCAAAAGAAAGCATTTAAAAACCAAATGAACCAACCCACTACACCAGATCTACACCAAAGCTTCTTGATAAGTTAAACTGTTTTTAAGTCGGAGATCAGCAACAAAAGGCCTGACTGCCAAAAGGCATTTTAGACATTCAGCAGATTTCCTTTTAAAACGTAAGATAAGAAACCATCAAAATATAAATGAAAAAGACCCCAGTCAACGGTATAAAATTTCTTGAGGATTCAAGGAAAGCATGTCTCATTTGTGGGTCTGTTTCCAGGGCCTTGTCCCTCTCCTTCAGCTTTTGTGATTTTGTGTTTATGGCAAAACCAGTTTAGAGCTGGAAGGCCACATTCAGCCTACAGCCCAATAGCGGCTCCCCTTTGAAGGATATTTATTGTTCCTGCTGCCTTTAATTGCCTGGTTAATCTGTGTAACCAAGTACTGTAATCCATGTAATCCCATGGCTTTTTCACTTGTCCTTTATTGACCAGACAGGTATTTGTTAAGCTGCTGCTTGTGCTCTTCCCTCCACACAGGCTGTCAGCTCTTCACACATAAAGATTTCCCACCGCACCCAGTGTTTGTACAGAGCTGGCACAACCAGCCTGAAGCTTCCAAGGGCTACTAGATAAAACAAACAAATACCCCTGAAGCCACCCTAGTGATTTGCTGAGGTTTATTTGCCTATTTATACCATTTAAGCTGGCAGAGGGCAAAGGAATTAGAAGAAAAATGACATTTTCCTTTAAAAAAAAAAGAAAAATAATAGAGAATCAGGTGTTGTAGGGAACCAAACTCCATCCATAGTGTTCTCAGACCTATGGGTAGTCACCTTCTGGGGAGATACCAGAAAAAAACTAATTTTTCAAAGATGAAAATCAGCTCAATGTATTCTGTAAGGCAATGACAATTAATTCAGTAATATTTTCTCAGAACCTTTCCATCAATAGAAGGTACTCTTTAATTGTGTCACTCAAATAACATTGCATATTGGGTTGCAATGTATGTAGTTGCGGGTCAAAAATGTAATTCTTAATTTTCCTGCATTTCCATACCACTGAGGTCAACAGATCTACCTACTCCAGTGATATGTCCATATGAATGTCTGCTCTAGACACTGAGTAAATGACTGAGGATATTTGTCAAGCTGCCCCTGGGAGTGGCCTCATATTTTTTGTATAAACTTCAGACAAAAGTCTAAACATCTGGATACTTATAAAAATCATCCAGAGCTCCTGGATGTCGAGTCTTTTCTCTCATTCATTGGGACTGAAGTTGTCAGTGGGCACAGAAGTGTTGTAATGTGAGGCATAATCAGCCAGTGCACAGAAATAAGAATCAGATGTCTTTCAAATAAAACTCGCCTCTCCACCAGCAATCCTCCAGCGAATCTCCCACACCTGTGGATGAGGGTTACACTGCTGTTACTGCCATTTAGAACTCTTTTAATGCTGGATGTGTTTTTTAAAAGACAGCTCTCACAGCTTATAAAGCAAGGTTTTGGCTTCGGCTAATGAAAAGCATTAGTGTACTGTGGGAGGTGCAGGGAGAGAAAGATTATAATTAAATCTCTCCACTCCTCTCCCGTCTCTAAGGGCTTGGATAAGAAACAGTTCTGCTGGGCAGCTGAATTTTAGCTAAATAAGATAGCTGGGGGAGGGAGCCTTCTTGGTGGTTTCATATATGCTTGCACATGTGGTAGGGCCAGGGAACATTTCTGATGAAAATAAAATTGTTCTGGGCTCAATCCAGCTGAAAATACCGGCAGCTTGCCGGGCCCTGCAACTTTCATAAGGTTGCAGATCCTGGCTCCTAGCAGGAAGTTTGGCCCAGCCACCGTAGAAGGCCCAGCAAGCAAAACAATAGCTCTATGCCTGAATATCACACATCAAGCTGGGAGAGGCAGGAGGACGTGTGCCAACATGCTCCCTCCATCCCAATGCTGTCAAGGCTGGGCTCTTTCTTGTACCTTCAATCCGCCTTGCCCCGCAGCCTGTGAGCACAGCCAAGAAGTTACACAGGAGCCCAAAGCTGGAGGCTGTGGCTCCTCTGCTCACAAGAAGGGGCTGTGGGCTTTGCCATCTCTTAGGTTGTTGGTGATGACCAGCAATGGTCTGCTGCAGGTGAACTTGGTTCTCCTCTCATCCTCCTGTGTGTTCCTTTTACTATCAGCCTCTCCCGAGTTTGATTTAGTCTTGAAGAGCGAATGTTTGTTGAAATGATTTACGATTGACATGAATTTATATAGCACCCTTTAGGTACATCACAAGTGGGTCTTTATAAGAACTAAGTTTGAAACAATGTAGGTGCAACATGCCAAAAAAATGCAGCTATTGAAAACAGACGAATAAAAGACCCCAAACAACATTTTAAAACTTCTGAAGAAATTTGATGTAACACCTTGGAGTGTAGGGGAATGTTGGATTCATGGCTGTGGATTGCTGGGAGGTGCATTCAATACACTCTTAGCTTGAGAATAGAGACTCAGCCTGTGTTGGGCAAAGAACCCCAAAAAAATCCGAGCTCATAACCTAAGTCAGATATTAGAGACATGGGCAACAAAAATGTTTTAAACTTAATGCTACAGAAGTAATTCCTGCAGCTGTTTGGACCAGGCTCAGCTCTGCATCATCTCAGTATTTGCATCTCATCACCCTAAAATCACTGGTGGTCCAGAACTTCTCACATCATGACAAGATGGCCTGTTCCAGGGCAGAAACAGGGGCAACATGAGCAGGGTCAGTTCACTTTTCTGACATACAATCAAATGCAGCTGCAAAATTTTGCTTTAAGTTTCTTTTAAAAGGGAAAAAGACAAGTTTCTACCAAAACATAATCCTGATCCTGGCAAATCTGCACCTTTGTCTGGATTATACTGCCTTGGAGGAGTTGAAAGGCCTATAGCCACACTGATTTCCACCCATGGAAAGGGGTTTTTTCCCAAAAAGTTTTTTTTTTCCCCCCGAAAACATTCCTTACTAGGAATATTCACAAGCATAGAAAACATGGGATATAGTGAAAAATAATGTTGATGTAAAAGCAAGCTGCTAGTGCCCCTTATTGTCTCTTTAATCACTGATAAGCCCTTGCACCCACAGACATTTAATATAATTTAAACCAGCAGTAATTAGTCCCCATCCAAAAGAGAAACTTATAAACATGCATCAACCCACCATGTGGACTGACACCCTAAGATGCTACACACACACTTGCACACTGTACATTTTCCCTTTCCGGTAGGGGAACAGCTCTTTTTCCTGTGTCCATGGAGGTAACCTGAAAATTATCTGCCACTCTTATTTTTTTCTGGTCTAGCAAAGCTTTCTCAAATATTTCAGCTGTGGTTGGCTAGCAGGCCTGATTCTGTACTTGGAAAGTGACTGAAAACTTTGCTCTTGATTTCAGTGTATTCAGGATTAGATCTTACCAAGCAGCAGAAATCTAGTAAGTGTGTGTGTGACCTGGGCTTTCAGAGTTTCTCAGCATCTTGAACTACCAGGTCAGTCTCTCTGTAGAAGCATATATTTGAAGAGAATGTAAATACCATTTATATATGCACATGCACACACACACCCCATGCATGCATATATATATATATATATATAATAATATTACTTTATTACCAGAATTGTGCAAACCTGTTACCTGATCTTGTAATTACAAGCCAATATTACTTTAATGATGGAAATCTTTGCTTTTCACTGCAGTTGTCTTTGTTGAATTAAACAAAGACAACACTTTTATCAGAAATAACCTAGACATGTAATCCAAATGACATTGCAATCCCTGTTAAACACAGACAGATATTTTCCTTTCAGTTATACTGATGTAACTGCTGCTCCAGATGAAAGACATCCTCTGATCTTATACCAGGAAGATGTACTTCTTCTGAGCAAAAGACATAAAAGACCTGTCAGACTTGTGCTCCTCAGTGGGATTTATAACTCTGTAAGTGGGCCTGTTTGAGTTGAAGATGCATTTACATTCATTATGGGAGCTTTTCTTCTTCCCCTAAGTGCAACATATGCGTACAGACACAACTGCATTACATATAAAAATGTAATAAATAAAATGCTTTGCTTGCAAGTGTTCATTAGAACACTAACACGTAGTTTTACGAGAGAATATTTTTGCATAATCTGATTCTTACATTATAACATGTTTCAAATATGATATAACGCTCTCTCTCTTTGAAGTGATAACCTGCATAGAATGATATCGCATGGGATAATCCAAGAGCCCCTTGCTCTTGCAAACACACTCTAAAAACAGGCCAGAGCTCTCAAAAGAAATGCACTGAATGGGTTTAGACCAGGGGCTCACTGGTCTGGATAGCACTCCATAGGACCTTGGTAGCATTGACTGGGAAAGACCCAGGACCAAAGTCCCAGCAGTCCACAGCTCCCTGGAAGAACCATCTTAAAGCCGCATTGCATCTTGGCCCATTATGGATAGGAGTTATGTATAATGAGGTCCTCCTGTATAAATGGCACCTCCACACGAATCTGATGTGCTTTCCAGGGAAGCAATTATTAATTTTGAATAAACACTTCGGGAAGGCCACACCTCCCTCCAAGTCCTATTCAGCTGCTGCTTTCTGCTGAAGTGCCAGTCTTTGTGCATTGTGCTGAGAAGCAACGTGTTATTCCAGACAGTCCTGTGAGGGCTCTGAGAGTCACTCTGCCTTGAACCAGGGCAGCTGGCAGTATTTCAGACCACATAAAAGCTGCCACATGATGGAGTCAGGACCATTTGCAAAAAGCTGTGAGCGCAGTGCATCAGGACAAGGGTGAATATGAGCAGGGAGGGATAATGTGACAAGGGAGGGGGCAGTGAGACAGTGGGGACACCACGTGCTTGGTGTAAGTCTGGGGTAGAAGGGACACATCTGCACACAGAAATGAAGTCAATGAATTTGCAGTGTCTCAGGAAGCTTCTCGGATAGGCACAGTAATCCTTGCTGTATGTATGTCTAGAAATGCGTGTCACAGCATTAGTGACAGACTTCTACAGAGAAGCAAAAGGGGTTACTTCTTCCATCTTAAAAATAATTTCCTTATTGTAATGATGGTACACAATGACACTGTTCTCTCAGTATTTAGGTACTGAATTCCCCTTTTTTAGAAGGGACTTAAACTTGAGTGACCTGTGGACCTACCATCTATGTACTGAGCCCTCTTTGTTATTTGTGCTTTTTGGAGAGATTATGCTCTCATTATTTATATAAAGAGTCTGCCGTCTTAGAGAGGATTTCATATGACCCCATGATCCCATTATTTAAGTACTAAGATCCTTCTTGTTAGAGGTTACTTTAACCACCATTTAAACATTCAGCTCCCCAGAATAGGTCTTTCCCCACCAGTGTCAATAAAGTTAGCTTTTGTTCAAGTGCTCTTCCTCTGCAATTCAATCACACATGAATGGCAACAATCCTATTTTTATAGCATGGTCTCAGTCTGGCTGCATCCACCCATGCCAGTGGCATGTTAAGCAAAATCCAAACCCACGAGTGGATGTGGATGTTGACTGTGGGTTGTGCAGCCATGACTGTGGCTCTGAGCTCCACCAGGCAGCACAAGAGTGCAAGGACTGAGCATGGAATGGTGATGGCATCCTAGAAGACTGTGATGAACTCCTTAAATAACACACGCTCAGGCAAAACCTCAAATCATTGCCATGGCAAACTGACACGATGAAAAGAACCAACTTTGAAACTAGTACATCCTTGCCTTTTTGTCTCAAGCATTTCACATTTGTGAACCATGTGCTTTGTGGGCAATTATGCTGGTAGCATAAGATTCAAAGCTTTGGTTTAGCATGTTTAGTTAAAGAGTGCTTAATAGGACTCACAGAGAATAAATACTAGGACAGTTTTAATAATAACTGGAGACGGGCTCTTGCAAATTTTAGGGATTTAAAAAAAAAGCCAGGAAAAAGCATAGTGAGGAATAATGCTTTTTGGAAGACAATTACTGCATGGACCAGAGCATTTCAATTCCACAAACAAGAGACAGAAGGAGAAAGATAACTAGGTATAAAGGAACTACAGTGATA